CATCTTTTTGTTTCTTCTTTGCGTTTGTTTTGGAAGCATAGGGTGAAGTTTTTAAGTTTTGGATATTTTTGACTTGTTCTGAGGAGTTTGGAGTACCGATTTTTAGAATAGGCGTGAATTTTGGTATTCCTGGTGGTTTTTCGGCAAGCTGGCTGGTTTTTTTGTTGTTTCTCTGGATATTTTGGGTAGAATCTAGAAGTCGAAGTCGACTTAGGCATTGTTTGGTTCGGTCGGTATGTCTGACCGAGTGGTGAGGAGGCGTGTGGCGTGGACTGAATAGGCAATCGGTCATCCAGGGCGAGTGGGAGTTTTTAGGTTGGTGGATTGGTGAGCAGGGTGAGTAGGTAACTAGGTTTGAGCTTGGAGGTGGGTCGGTCGTCTGGGGCGAGCGAATTAGTGCTCTACTGAACCTGGTTCCAGGGTCGGTCGGTTGGAGGGGTCGACCAAGGGTAGGGGCGATCTCGTTGTCGGACAGGTCGACTGGTAGCGAGCCTCTTCCTTTGGTTGGTCGGTTAGGTGGGGCGACTGACTGTCTAGGGTTCCATATCTCTCGATAGGACGGGTCGACTAAGATTGAAGAGGCTGATTTTCCGGGACGTCAGACGGTGTTGAAGGGCGACCGATAACTAGGTTGATACTTTTAAGTGGTTCTTTCAGTTGGGAATTCCATAATAAGGAACGAGTCGGTCGGTTGGGATGGGCGAGTGATCCGAAATGTCAGATGATACCTCAGCAGATTCGAGTCGAGATGTGGTGGATGTTGGGGATGAGTATGAGTATGCCCCGACTATTGTGATGCTGCCTGAAAGGAGCGTCCCGATGGGCATACCAACTGGAGTTAGTGTAGCCGCTCCAGGGACGAGTCAAGCTGGGCCGAGTGGCTCGGGCAGGCATGGGAGGAGTGGGGAAGACTCCGGAGGGGCTGGCAGGGTAGTGGGATTCTGACCAGGGATTATCCGCCCGTGCTGAAGGATAGTGACGTGTGGCGTATCCGTACATTGTATCATATTCCTAGTTCGGTCGATATCTGGACCCCGCGGTCGTATGAGCGTGTTGATTGGGAAGCTGAGGGCTGGGTCTGTGTTTATGAGAAGTGGTTTCATGACGGGTTGAGGTTACCTGTGCCTCGCCTCGTCTGGGAGGTGTTGAACCACTTCATGATTGCCCCTTCCCAGCTTATGTCGAACGCTTGGAGACTGCTGATGGCCCTGGAAGATCTGTGTGTTTGGCACCAAGTTGTGTTCGGGTTACACGAGCTGCTATACTCGTACTTTCTGAAGGAGAACGATAAGGAGAAGGGCTGATATTTGCTGAACTTGAGGCACAACCGGTCTCACCTGGTGACCGACCTGCAGTCCAGTGATAAGAACTGGAAAGACCGCTACTTCTTCCTAAGGGGTTAGGCCATTTTCGGAGAGAGGGGCCCGGGCGAGCTACTGGTGAGAACTTGTTTCTTTCGTTCTTTTGATTACTAAATCTTGATTGTGTTTTTTGTTTGCAGAGCTTGAGTTCAATCGGGCCGGGTAAAGCAGAGACGGCTTGGACGTAGAGACTCAAAGAGTGTTAGCTATCCCATTGGAGCAAAGGGATTGGCGGGTAGTGCTAGCGGAGTCCAACTTGAGGACCAGCATTCTTTGGGCTGGAGTAGAGGCGATACAGAGAGGTACTCCCTTCCCCTCGCTGAAGCAGACTTGGGACGTTCTCCTAAGTTGATACTGCAATCAGCTAATTTTTGGTGAGTCCGGGCTAAACCCACTAACTTTTGGAGAGTTTGCACTTGCAGAGTCACTTATGAAGAAGTTGAGCGTCCTAAGTGCGAACGAGTCCATCGCCAGGCGTTGAGAGAAGAGGAGGAGGGAGTCGTTGGCTATGGCGGACGTGAGGGTTAAGGACGTATTGGCGACACCGCCCAGTCAGCAGCCATCGAGCCAGCAGCCTTCAGTAGGAGTCGGGTCGTCCCAGGCTACCGTTGTGGATGAGGAGGCCGAGACTATTACTTTCACGATTTCGGCTACTGCATCGACTTATTCCGATGCGACATCTATGAGTAAGCTGGCCGACTCTTTCTTGTTCCTGGCGGACGAGGCGCGCCTGAACCAGATAGGTGCAGTTACTGCCGCCGATTAGGGTGTATCCCGCGCCATTTAGGTATAGCAGTACTTGTTCATTTTCCCTGTTTTTGACTTTGTTCTCATTGCTGAGTTTTGTTGTGCAGGTACTCACTAGCAGTCTTCATCTGAGGAAGTCTGTCATGGCACAAGAGAAGCGGATATAGGATGTATCCAAGGCCAACACTGGTTTACGCCAGAGGGAGGCAGCGTCTCAGAAGGCTGAGCAGGAAAGTCAGCAGCGCCTCAGGGATAGTGAGGCCGAGGTCGAGAGGTTACAGCACGAGTTGGTCGAGAGGACCGCGGAGGTCGAGTCCCTAAGGGAGCAGTGAATCTCCATTGCTGATGACGCCATCATTAAGGCCCGAGGCGAGCTCATGCTGGAGTTCAAGGAAGGGCAGACCTCTTATTGGGATCCGGATGAAGATATTCTGCTCATACAAGAGTTGTTGGAAGAAGGAACTGGTCATCCTGGGGGGCAGGACAAGGAGCAGGCGCCTGACTTTAGTCAGTCAGGGCAGTCGGGTGTTGGGGACGTGAGCGACCAGGCTGCGGGGTTGAGCACTAGCGGTGCGGACATGGCGACTGATTTGGTGATGGAGGATGAGGCTCGTGCTGAGGATGCTTAGCGCTTTCTTTTATTTTTGTATTTTGGGGCCTACGATGCCCTTTTGTCTAGCGTCTGTGCCATTTTTTGTATTCTGAACTGGGGCACTTGATGCCATATATACCACCTTTGACTATTCTGATTTCTAGTGTTGTCTCCTTGGATGAATGAACTATTCTTTTATTTCTCTTCTTGTAGGTGCGTTATGTTTGTGTATGTTACCTCAGCGTGGCCCAATGGCTAAGGCATGTAGGCCTTATGTTGGGCTGGGTTGGTGCTTTGCTTGTCAATAGTGTAAGAATCATTCATTTGGTCTGGCCAACCGAGTGTGTAGTCCCCTAGATGAATGACGTTGCATCTTCAGTTCAGTTCTTGGGTCGAATGGGGCCGATCCCAAGGTGTCAAGTCTTGGATCGGGCATGGCCGATCTGAAGGTGTCATCGTGAGTCGAGCGGGGTCGATTCGAAGGTGTGAGTAATTCATCGATCGGGGTCGATTTGAAAGGTGTCCGTATGTATCAGACAGGGCCGATTTGAAGGTGTCCGTACGTTTATCGGGCAAGGTCTATTTTAAGGTGTCTGTATGTTTATCAGGCAGGGCCAATTTGAAGGTGTCCGCACATTTATCGGGCAGGGCCGATTTGAAGGTGTCCTTACGTTTATCGGGCAGGACCGATTTGAAGGTGTCCATACGTTCATCGGGCAGGACTGATTTGAAGGTATCCGTACGTTTATCGAGCAGGGCCGATTTGAAGGTATCCGTACGTTCATCGAGTAGGGCTGATTTGAAGGTGTCCGTACGTTCATTGGGCAGGGCCGATTTGAAGGTGTCCGTACGTTCATCGGGTAGGGCCGATTTGAAGGTGTTCGTTCGTTTATCGGGCAGGGCCGATTTGATGGTGTAAGTAATTCGTCGACCATGGTCGATTTGAAGATGAGACTTCTGAATAATACTTCATTAAATATTTGGCCATGAAGCCGACTGTCTAAGAGGAGGTGGATAGGCCCACCCATCTTTTTAAAAATGAAAAGAAACGAAAAACAAATCCTCAAAAAAGACAAGGTTCACCTAGAAGTAGTAGCGTTTGAGGTGAACGGCATTCCAACTGTTGTTGATGTCTTTGCCCTCGGGGGTCTGGAGTTTGTAGGCGCCCTTCCCTACTGCTTTGATTATCTTGTAGGGACCTTTCCAGGTGGGACCGAGTTTACCAGAGTTGATCTCCTTAGAGTTTTGGAAGACCTTGCGGAAGACCTAGTCGCCTATCTTGAAAGTACGGATTCTCACGTTGCGGTTATAATGTCGGGTGGCCTGTTGCTAGTAAACTGCATTGCAGATGCTCACCCGTTCTCGTAGCTCGTCCACAGTGTCTAGGTTCTGGCAAAGGTTGTGACTGTTTGATTCCTCGTCCGCCCATTGAAGCCTGGTGGACAGAATTGATACTTCAGCTGGAATGACTGCTTCGAAACCGTATGTCAGGGAGAAGGGGGTTTCACCAGTTGATGATCGAGCCGTGGTTTGGTATGACCAGAGGACTCCCGGTAGCTCGTCTGCCCATGCGCCCTTAGCTTTCTACAATCGTTTCTTCAATGTCTGTATAATGGTCTTGTTTGATGACTCGGCTTGACCATTAGACTGGGGGTTGCGGGGTGTTGAGAAGCTCAACTTTATTCCCCACATGTCACAGAAATCCCTGAAGCCTGAACTAATGAACTGAGACCCATTATCGGTGACAATCTCTTTTGGCATTCCAAACCTGTAGATTACATTCTTCCAGATGAAGGCTTTTACCTCTCGGTCTCTGACTTATGCGAAGGCTTTGGCTTCGATCCACTTGGTGAAGTAGTCTGTCACAGCCAACATGAAGACTCGTTGCCTCGATGCAGTAGGTAGCTTTCCCACGATGTCCATTCCCCATTTCATGAATGGCCAAGGTGTGAGAATGGAATGGAGTAGTTCTAGTGGGAGGTGTGAGATGTGGGCAAACCTTTGACAGCTGTCGCATTTCTTCACTTAAGCGGTCGAATAGGTGTGTATGGTCGGCCAGTAGTATCCCGCGGTGATCACTCAGTGTGCGAGACTGCGCCCCCCCGCATGGTTGCCGCATTCGCCTTCATGGAGTTCAGCTAGAACACTTTAGGCTTCTTCTAGGCTTATGCATTTCAGATAAGGGCCCGAGAATGACTTTCTGAGGAGTTGGCCCTCATGTATGGTGAATCTGGTGGCTCTCGCTTTCAGTCGGCGTGCTTCGTTCTTGTCAGCTAGGAGCTCATCGTCTTCCAGGTATCTTATTTCGGGGTCATCCAGTAGTCAGCTTGTTCAACGCCCATGGCCTCTACGGGAGACTTGTTTGGTGGTGATTCCTTCCAGTTGGCTGGCCACTGCATGAATAAGAGGGGAATGGATGACTGGGAAGAACATGGGAGTGCCGAGCCAAGGTTGGCGAGGGCGTCGGCATAGTAGTTCTCAGCTCTAGGGATCTGTACGATTGAGAACTCTTCGAATTCAGCCTGTAGCTCTTTGACCATGCTCAAATAGGATGTCATTTTTGAATCACGTGCTTGATACATGCCTTGTAGTTGATTGACTACAAGTTGGGAGTCCGACTTCACTTCTAGCCTCTTGGCTCCAATTTCTCTGGCCAAGGAAAGTCCAGCTAGGAGGGCTTCATATTCGGCCTCGTTATTCATGCACTTGAACCCACACTGGATTGCTCGCTGGATGATGTCTCCCTCTGGTGTGATCAGTACTATTCCGAGTTCGCTTCCATTGACATTACTCGATCCGTCTACTAGGAGAGTCCACTTTAAGGGTGGTGCGCCGTTCATGCATAGTAATTCTCTTTCAGCCTGGGTGGTGGCGCTTGGTGTGAAGTCAGCAATGAAGTCTGCCAGTGCCTGGGACTTGACGGCGGTACGAGATTGGTAGACTATATCGAACTCACTAAGCTCTACTGTTCATTGCATGAGTCGGCCTGATAGTTCTGGTTTGTGTAGTATCTTCTTGAGTGGGAAGGAGGTGATTACAGCAATGGGGTGGCATTGGAAGTACGGCCTGAGCTTCTTAGATGCATGGACGAGGGCAAGGGCCAGTTTCTCCAGTTGACTGTACCGAGTTTCTGCGTCGAGGAGTGACTTGCTCACATAGTAGACCGGTAATTGCTTTGATTCTTCTTCTCGAACTAGCACTGTCGAGATGGTTGTCTCTGAGACCGCTAGGTAAGAGTAGAGCTTCTCCCCATCCACAGGTTTGGAAAGAAGTGGAGGTGTGGTCAGATACCTCTTCAGCTGTTGTAAGGCTTCTTCGCAGGAAGGGTTCCAGTCGAACTTCTTGGACTTCTTGAGGGCATGGAAGAATATGTGGCATTTATCAGCTGATCTGGAGATGAAGCGGCTCAGGGCGGCCACTCATCCTGCAAGGCGCTGGACGTCTCTGATGCAAGTCAAGGATGGTATGTTGAGGACCGCTCTGATCTGGTCGGGGTTTGCTTCTATCCCTCACTGAGTAACCATATAGCCTAAGAATTTACCTGACAAGACGCCGAATGAGCACTTGTTTGGGTTCAACTTCATGTTGTACTTCCGGAGAACGGCGAATGCCTGGCTAAGGTGGTCAAGGTGTTGTTCGGCAATCAGGGATTTGATGAGCATGTCATCGATGTACACCTCCATGGTCTTTCCTAAGTGGTCAGAGAACATTTTATTAACCAGACGTTGGTAGGTAGCCCTGGCATTCTTCAGTCCAAACGGTATTACTTTGTAACAGTAGGTTCCCCTCTCCGTGATGAAGGCTGTCTTCTCTTGGTCGTTCGGATGCATCAGAATCTGGTTATATCCCGAGAAGGCATCCATGAAATTGAGGAGTTCGTGCCCTACGGTCGCATTTACCATCATGTCGATATGTGGGAGTGGGAAAGAATCTTTGGGGCAGGCTTTGTTCAAGTCAGTGAAGTCGATGCAGACTCTCTACTTCCCATTCTTTTTCTTTACGACTATGACGTTTGCTAGCCATTCGGGGTAGTGGAACTCTCTGATCATGCCGTTGCTTAGGAGCTTTTTAATCTCTTTATTGACGATCCAGTTTTGCTCAAGTGCGAATTTCCTCCTCCTCTACTTGACTGGTGGGTGATCCGGATCTGCCTTGAGCTGGTGGACCATTGCGTCTGGATTAATTCCGATCATGTCAACGTAGGACCAGGCGAAGCAGTCTTCGTTCTGTTTGAGAAATTCTATCAGCTTCTCTCTTGTCTCGGGTTCGAGGCGGGAGCCTATATGTGTCTTTCTCTCCGGATGTATCTGCACTTCATCCAACTCCTCAATAGTCAGTTGGTCAGGCTCGGTTTGAGAGGTTAGATGAGACTGTAATTGCTATGAAGAGTTTCCTTTGCCTTCGAAGGCGTTCTTGTAGTAGTCCCTGGAAGCTTTAGGGTCGCCCTTGATCTCCTGTACTCCCCACTTGGTTAGAAACCTGATCGTCTGGTGGAAGGTAGATGAGACTGCCCGCATGTCATGGATCCATGGGTGACCCAAAATGACGTTGTAAGGAGATGGGCAGTCGATCACTAGGAAGATGGTCTGTTTGTTTATTCCACCGGCGTAGATGGGAAGGATGATCTCTCCAATAGAGTATTTCTGCTCCGAGCTGAACCCAACCAGCAGTGTTGGTCGCCTGTTGATGTTTGCTTCTTCTAGTCCCATCGCCTTGACTGCTTCGAGGAACAGGATGTTTGTTGACGAACCTCCATCTACGAACACCCTTTTCACTAGGATGTTGGCAATCTACAGGGAGACGACTAAAGTGTCATGATGAGGAGCGGCTAGGGTGATCGATTCGTCATCTTCAAACTAAATTACCTGATGAGAGTGTGATCGCGAGACCGGATGGATGGACTGTACTTCATGGTGGTGGCTGGCTCTAGCATATCATTTGGCTGATGAGTAACTTACTCCACTGATCTCTGATCCTCCAGAAATGAGCGAACAGAAACCTTTCGGTGTGGGTTCCTGCGGAGGGGGTGACGGTTCTTTGGAGCTTTTCTGGCTAATTGTGTTCTTCCCCTTGTCAGTAAGCAGATCACGGAGATGTCCCCTTTTCAAAAGTACGGTAACCTCGAGCCGCAAGGCAATACAGTCTCTGGTGTTGTGCCCATGGTCGCTGTGGAACTCGCACCACTTGGTTATGTCTCTCCTTGCCTCGGGATTGAGCTTGCCAGGCCACCTGACGGTGGATGCCAATCATTTCATTATTGCTACGACCGGGGTTTGCTCGACATTGAGGTTGTACTCTGGTATCTTGTGTTGGTTGGAGACGAACGGCCTGTTATCATTTCTCACGTGTTGGCGATCATAAGGCTTCCTGACTCTGCCCATATTGCGTGTTGGAGGTTGGTAGCGGTGCTCTACCGGTCTAGACTCTCGCTTCTTGTCGCTCCGCCTTGATTCGTATCTAGAATGGGTAGCTCTGTTCATCTCATCTTCCTCCCATCTTATCTGGATAACCGCCCGGGCCAGAGCATCTTCCATTGTGGTGCAACCCAGCTTCGTAAGTTCTTTGTACAGTTCTTCGTCTGGGAGGAGGCCCTTCCTGAAAGCGTCCACAGCAGTCTCAGGGTTACAGGAAGGGATAGAGATCTTTTCTCTATTGAATTTGCTGACATATTCTCTCAATGGCTCTCCCCTTCTCTGGTATATTCGGTATAGGTCGGCCGATAGTTTCTCTAGTTTCTTGTTGCTAGCAAATTGCTCCACAAGGTGTCAGTAAGCTGGGCGAATGAGTCGATGGATCCATTCAGGAAGTTCGTGTACCATTGGAGTGCCGGTCCAGATAGACTAGAATCGAAACTCTTGCACATGCAGGCTTCCCTAAGCGGTCGGGGTATTGAGACTGTAAACATTCGCTGCTTGTACGAGGCTATGTGGTCATCCGGGTCGGTGGTACCATCGTACGGTTTCATGTTGGGGATGGTGAATTTCTAGGGCATGTCGGCCAGGGCGACCTCATCCACAAAGGGTGAATCAGCGTAACTGTGGGGTCTGCTCTTCTTGGTTGGGACCGACATACCTGGAATGCGTCTCATCACTGCCTCGACGTCGGCCAGTCTTTTGGCCAATACTTGTTCCATAGGGGAGGGGGATACTACCGGGTCATTCTGTCTTACTAGGTTTGCTACTGCATTCGTTCTCAACACATCCCGTTGGGTCATCCCTCGTGGGGTAGTCTGATAGATCGATCTGCCGTGCATTCCTTGATAGCATGGATCTTCGTTCATCCCTTCCGGCTGGATGACTCCCATTGTCACTATTCTGTTGTTACGCCCCACATGAATGGTCAGTAGAGTCGACTGGTAGTCGCTCAGTCGGTCAGGGTGGATGAGCCCGAGTGCTGGAGTTGGTTTGGTTTGGCCATTCAACCCGCAAGGGTGAGTCGAGCCGAGTGGGGTTTGTGTTTGGGTTGTGGACAGGAGGTGGAGCGGGATGGGGAGAGTGGGCTGGTCTTGTGGATGTGGCTTTCCGTTACTGGATTATCTTGGTTACGAGGTTGGGATGAGTCGGCTAGATGGTGTTCTGCTGACATATCTTTGTCTCCATTAGTCAAAACGGAGTTGTCCAATGCCAGCACACTTAACAGACGCGGCTCTTTACCGAAGATCGAGGGCTGATGCTCTGGTGTGGAGAGTGGTTGCATGGATGGGATAGGGGCGCGGAACCGATTGGGAGGTACTTGGTTGGGCAAGAACTCGAGATCATAGAATTGACCTACCTTCTCTTTTAGAGACTGGTTTTTAGCCCTAATGGATGAGTTTTCGGTCCGGATCGCATTGTTCTCGGCTTCCAGTGTGGCCACCTTGTCTGAATTTTGTTGCATGAGAGAGGTCAAGACCTCTAGTCTGGCCTCGAGGCCAGGGTTAGCGTTGTCGGGATTGTCAGCCATGGAATGTTCCTTCACGTAGCAAGGTTCGTTGAGCCGAATGATCGCTAGAGGCCCCACGGTGGGCGCCAAACTGTAGACGTAAAAATCTACCTGTACGGAAAGGGGGGTCTAATCCCGCGAGGTTGAGGCCACTAGCGATCTATTGTACCTGCACACGTAGGAAACACGCGTGAAGTGAACGGGAAACACCGGGGTGGTGTTTGCCGTAGGCACTCCGACGCTCAAGTCAGCAAGGCTGAAAGGCTAATATAGTGAGGGCTAGGGAGTCAAAGGTTACCGGAAGTTTAGTCGGGGATTGTGACTACGGCGGTGATGTGAAGCTCTCAGGTCAGAGCTTTCGATGTGAAGGTAGAATCTCTTCCTCTGAGAGGGCTGGCCTCTGCTTATATAGTGACTGTCTGGTCTCCCAATCCTGATAGAAGTAGGAGTCCTAGTATGACTCTAATGCAAACCCTAGAAGAATTAGGGTCGTGGTAAGTTGTCTTACCAGTGTCCGAATAGGAAGGTGATTCTGATTAGGAGAGTAACTTCCAGCAAGAAAGTGATCAGGAGTAGGAAAGTATTTTGAGGGGGCCGTGGGCTCTAAATTCACCCATGGACCTAGGAAATGGACTGGGATTAGGAGGCTCGTGCCCACGTGGTTTGGGCCGGCTAGACATTGTACCGAATGGGCCTAATCCGGTAGGGTTATATCAGGATTGGGTCTGACTTCTTCTTCATTGTCGCGTCCGTTTTCCTATTTGGACCAAGGATCTTTTTTTGCCCTAACAATATTCATATAACGAGGAGCTAATCTTATGTCAAAGTGAAATGATGAAGTCTACGTTGGTAAAGCGAGTGTATATTTATACATATACGAAAATTTCCTTTTCATTGTGCGTGTTTGAGTCGGAAATTAGAAGATGAATTTCCTAACTTTCATTCTTATTAAAATCTGGGAAGGAATATTGGATAACTGTAAGTCAACTCAACGTAGGGGTCGATTGTGTGGACGTAAATGGTTTGGATAAACTTAACCAGCAGTTTTAAAAACGCACGAGAAAAATGAGGATTTCTATATCACAATAATTAAATAAGGATTTCAAAAGACCTTGCAGCTTCAGACATTCCTGAGAAGACACATAATGTAAAATTTCTGGACTACGGGAGTCGGGAGCAGACATTTTTTAAACAGTTACCCAAAGTTTGGCAAAGATTAGATACTGGAAAGAGACGGTATTATTATTCTACATCCACGTGCCAGTACTGGCCAATCAATGGTCATTGACTGGTTGTCATACAGTTTTACTATTTGGTCATCAGTACCTTAAATTGAAAGATATATATATTTTTTAATTTCCAAAAATATTTTTCTCAAAGAGTTAAATATTTATGTTTCATTAAAAGTGTGGGAAAGATTGAAGACGTACTGTTACATGAAAACTATGTGGGTCAAAAATTATCTTGGGTTTAACGAGACCCAATAACGAAATAAACATGTCACGACCTAAGGTCTCAACCCAATCTTGATTGGGTCTACACTTAAAATCACCTTGTGAACCACCCACTCTATGAGTTGGGCTATCTTATAAGTTAAGCTAAACTGGGTTTCAGCCCATTAGCCTGCAGCAGTCTATAAATAGGAAATCAGAATCACATCTTATTTCCTCTTCTACTAAGATTCCAAATCTTACTCAAACTATCAAACTTGATCTGATAAGGTCAAGAAATTATATCTCTTTCAAGTTAGGGATTATCTCCCAAAATAGAATTTAGTGTCCTACTAAGATTCCAAATCTTATTTAAACTTAATCTGATGAGGTCAAGAAATCATATCTCTTTCATGATATGGATTATCTCCCAAAATAGGACTTAGTGTCCTACAAAGATTCCAAATCTTATTTAAACTATTAAACTTAATTTGATAAGGTCAATAAATCATATTTCTTTCTTGATAGGGATTATCTCCCAAAAAAAAGGACTCAATGCCTTACTAGGATTCCAACCCCTTGAGTTCATTATAAAAACAGAAGTTTGCCCTCTCATTAGGCATGCAATCTCCCATGGTCAATCTACACTACTCAAAACTATCTATTTGCTCCTAAAGTTCTTGCTCCCAAAAACCTGATGCCTCCACTGTAGTCTTTGCTTCCGCCAAGACTCCTGGTAATTCTTTATCTCCTTAATTCTTATCAAATAATCTTTTTCAGCCTCGCTGGTTTAAGCGTCGGAGTGCCTATGGCAAACATCACCCCGGTGTTTTCCGGAAGCTTCACGCTTGTCCTTTCATATGTGCAGGTCCAGCGGATTGTCAGTGGCCTCAATCTCACGGGATCAGACCCTATTTTCATGACGGTAGATTTTTGCATCTACACAAATTTATATAATGCAAAAACATTGAATCAATAAAAATGAAAGAAGATATAAAAACAGACCACATAATATCTATATAAATTATGTGATCGGTTGATACGAAAGAATTTGAAAATATTATTTGTAGATGTATTATTATTATTTTTAGTTTATAACCATTTTGGATGGAAATTAAGAATTGAGTGATAATCTAGAAAAAAAAAAATTAATTAATTAACTATAAAATAGAAGAATTAGTGTTACTCGTATCTTATTAATGATTTATTTGAATTAAAACAAATCTCACTTGCATATTAATTTCTTATCTAAGAATATTAAAATCTTGTTGACATGGATTCAAATGTATTTAGTAATTAAATTTCAAATAAAGAGTAGTAAAATGTTGAAATAATTGACACAGAAATATGATGTGGTGTTTTGACTATATTTATATTTGTCACGTGTGTCAGAAAAAATAGTTAGTTGCATGGATAGCTGATGTATGTATAGCTTAGCTTATTCAACAACTTTGACCAAACCAGACATTCTCATGCACGTAGTAATGAAGAAAAAATAGTGTAAAAATGAGCATTCAAACTAGGGGTGAGTACGGATAGCAGATAGAACCGAAATCATAACTAAAATATACTCAGAATCGATATTGTGCACGTAAGTTCCGGTTCCATTTTTTTTGGGAACCGGAACCTAGAAAAAATAACCTACAACAGATACTTAGCTTGGAACCTACAGCGGGTATCCTGTTTTGGAATGTGGGTTGAAATTAAATATATGTGAAGAATTGAGGGTCTACTAATTTTACATATAAAAAATTTAAATTTTTACAATAACCTAATTAAATAAATATATAATTATACTTATTACATATAAACTACACTATAGAAAAAACTTTTATATATATTATAATATATTAATATTAAAGTTTTGATTAATTAAGTGTATAGTTGAAAATAAGACTAATTAAAAGTGTTTTAATATTATTAAAAGAATTATTTTTGAATAAAATAGTATATTTGATTGAATAATAATATAATATTTAGTTATTTATTTCAATTATCAAGTTCTAAATATATTTGTAGTAAATTAGTAATTAATTAATTATATATGACAATTTGATAAACATTAATACATTACTAATTAAATAATTACTTAATCAATTATAACATTACATTATAGTTAAATAATTACTTAATTAATTATAAGTTTATAACATTACATTATAGATTTATAGTATAATTACTTAATTAATTATAAAGTTACATTATAAACAAGTGATTACTTAATTAATTATAACATTCCATTATAAACATTAATACAATACTTAATTAAATAATTAAAAATTTAATTAATTATAATGTTACATTAAATATTTATACAGTATAATCACTTTGTCCATTATAACATTACATTATAGTATGATCACATAATTAATTATAACATTATATAATTAAATTATTACTTAATTAATTATAATATTATATTATAAATATTAGTAATTTACTACATTAGCACAATACTTAATTAAATAATTAAAATTTTAATTAATTATAACATTACATTATAAATTTATAATATGATTACTTAATTAATTGTAACATTACTTTATAAACAAGTGATTACTTAATTAATTATAACATTCCATTATAAACATTAGTACAATACTTAATTAAATGATTAGAAATTCAATTAATTATAATATTACATTAAAGATTTATAATATGATTACTTAATTAATTATAATATTACATTATAGTATGATCACATAATTAATTATAACATTATATAATTAAATGATTACTTAATATTTTAAACATTAATAATTTACTACATTAGCACAATACCTAATTAAATTATTAGAAATTTAATTAATTATAACATTACATTATAAATTTATTATATGATTACTTAATTAATTATAATATTATGTTATAAACAAACGATTACTTAATTAAATAATTATATAATTAATTATAACATTCTATTATAAACATTAATACTATATTTAATTAAATGATTATAAATTTAATTAATTAAAATATCATTTTATAATTAAATAATTATTTAATTAATAATTATATTATATTATATTATAAATTTTTAATTAATTATAATATTATATAATTAAATGATTACGAAAATTCAAACATTGAGTGGGCTTACTGTACTTACCCAATATTCTTTTCCCCATTCCAAACTAGACCGTATGTTGGGAGCTTCATTTCAAATTTTCTACTCAACCTAACTTTCGTACATTTGTCTCTGTCTCCCACGGTACTTTTTAAATCAGTTTACACTAATTTGATTGGTTCGAGCAAACAGAAGTTGCTTGTCGTAATTATCATGTCTTCAAATTTTAGCCAATGGTGGAGCTTGAAACGTTTGGTTTGTTCCTTTGTTTTTCTTTTTATAAATGCAGATTGTGGCCAAATCGTCCGGACGCTACCAGGATTTTCCGGTACTCTTCCGTTCAGTCTTGAAACTGGGTGAGTGCCATTATTGTTGCTATACTTCTCTTCTACTGACGACGGAATGACATTTTATTAGTGAAGTACTAAACTAACTGCTATGGGCATGACTACTCAGATATATTAGCGTGGGGAGCTCAGAGCTTTTCTACTTGTTCGTGAAGTCGTAAGGAAATCCTGAAGTGGATCCTCTTCTTTATTATATAGTTGGAGGCCCTGGTTGTGCTGCTTTGAATGGTTTCCTCTTTCAAACTGGTATCTTTCTCATTTTACCGTCTCTTCTTGAGATTTCACATAGACACCTTTGATGTTTAGTGAAAGAAAAAGAGATCCACAGGTTTAGGAATAGAATACTTATAATTGACGGATGTATGCAAAATATTAATTCTAACACATAATCTAGGTTACAATGATGAATATGTCCTCTTTTTTTTTTTTTTTTATATTATCCTACAATCCTACAATAAAAAGGAAAAAAGGTTTATATTAATATTTCTCAAATTATTAAAATATTAAACATATTAGGTGGTTAAGAAACATTAAACTTTGACATTTTAATAAGACATTTAGGGGGCGTTTGGTTGGAAGAATGTTAGATTACTGGAAATGTTGGATAACTAAAAAGATAGATTACCTTGAAGATTACTGGGAATCTTTAGAAAAATGTGTTTGATTAGTTAGTAGGTATGTTATATTAATATGTTTGGTTATGGGTAATGAATTGGTGGGTATGTTATTTAAATTACTAAATTTTCCCATTTTTAAATATTAATATAATATTAATTTTATTATTAATTTTTAAATAATTTCCTTTAACCCCCAATATTTTAGATTTAGCTAAAACACCCTCACTTAAATAAAACTTTAATTTATGACAAAATCACCCACACCTCCTACCGCTGCCTGCCGCCACTGCAAACCACCGTCGAAAGTCTCCGAAAGTCCCCGTGAGTAGCTCACCGTGATCAAGAGACTCTGATATGGCTGTTTCTGGCCATATTGATGTCCGAAAATGGCCATATCAGGCCAAATCTGGCCAGAAATGGCCAGATCTATTTTGGTCAGAAAGCCGAAAACGGCCATATTGAAGCCTCCCACCGAATCTCATTCTTTTTTAGGGACTTCGACTGCGGTCCATGGTGGTTGGCCCGGTGTTGGCGGTGGTGGATGGGTGGTAGTGGTGGTAGTGGCTTGGTGGCAGTGGTGGTCTGTAAATTGTTTTAAATATTTAAATCTAAGGGTATTATTTTCCAAAGATTTAATTAAACAAGGGTAAAATTGAGATAGGATATTAATGTAAATTTATTTTAAAATAAGGGCATTATTGTTCAAAACTTTTATTAATCAGGGATAAAATTGTAAAAAAAAAAGATAACCCTGATAATCGTAGAATACTTAAGAAAATGGAGGTAATCAGATTACCTCTAATATTACCAATAGTAACCACTATTGGTATTCAAATATTACTAGCATCTTATATTACTTGACAACTAAACATGGTAATCAAGTAATATAAGATAACTTAACCCCCAGTAATCCTACATAACCCCAACCAAACGCCCCCTTAGGAAATAAATAACTTGTATTTATTATTATGTTGACTATTTTACCCTTATGACCGTTAATTTTCACAAACAGTTTGTCAATTATAAGGATACAAGTGTTACATTCCAAAACCTCCCCTCTTCTTGTCAATTGTTTAATCTTATAAATTAATGCAATGTTACTCATGTCAAAATATATTTTTAGGTCCACTACAGTTTAATGAAACTGATTACACTGGAGGTTTGCCAACGTTGCATTTATACCCACACACATGGACCAAGGTGCAAAATCTATAACTTGATAAGTGTGGTATGATGTGAGGGATTGATATTAATTAAATCTGTATGATAATGATAAAATTGTAGAGTGCGAGTATAATATTTGTAGATGCACCAATTGGCTCTGGTTACTCCTATTCAACAAACCCAGCAGATTACGAGATCTCAGACTTACAGTCAGCAAATCAATCTTATATTTTTATAAGAGAGGTGATGTTATTTAAAATGAACTTAACTTTTATGCATATATATATAGAGTTTTGTGTAATTTTTTAATTCAATATTGCAGTGGTTAAATGAGCATCCCCAATTTATCAAAAACCGATTTTTTGTTGCTACGGATTCATATTCTGGTGTACTTGCTCCCATTATCGCAAATCATATATTGGATGGTAATTTCCCTACTAATGAATCAAGTAATTTCATTCTTTTGTTTGTTTAATTTACCTAATTATTCATGGCGTTGCAGGTAATAATGCCGGACTTGTGCCAACAATAAATCTAGTGGTAATGATCAACACTTGGTTGTTTAGCCTGTTTGGTTGCTTATAAAATTTCTAATTCTATGTGAATGAAACAGGGGATTGTAAGTGGATCACCCCGTATGAATGGTAAAGAAGAACAAAGTTATCAAACAATATTAGCCCATAAGCTTGGACTTATATCCAAGACTATTTTTAACGTGAGTAATTTTTATTAGCTCTATTAATTTTATTTATTAATTTTATAATTACAATTACTTAAATCTAAACATAATATTTAATATTTGGCTGTTTCACAGTATGCCAAAGAGTATTGCAATGGCACTTACTTCTATACGGATACCAGTACAGTGAGTGCTGAATGCCTAGAGTATCTTGAAGTAATCGATGAGGTATTATCAAATTTTCTTTTAATTATTTTCTCAAACTCACAAAATCTTACTGGGTAATTATAAAAGCATTATCTGAATTTTGTAGTTAATTGAACAAATAAATACGGAAATGGTGTTGGCTCCCAAGTGTAGCACAGTATCACCCAAATTAGATGATGGAAACAAGAGGAGATCTTTGAGACAAACTGATTATTGGTGCAAGGTTCTCTTTCTTTTTCTCTCCATTTTAGAGCTACTGGTTTTGTTAATTTGTATAATATTGGTTCTGATTAATTAATTTTTATGTTAATTTGCAGAACTTTGGTTATCTACTCTCTACTATATGGGCAAATGATGAAGGTGTTCAACGTGCTCTTCATGTCCGAGAGGTATTTATTTGATTAAAATTTAAGGGGTTTATTTCATACATCCCTTGTAAGATCGTTTAATCTCAAGTACTTCTAGAGTTTTAAGAAACTATAAAAAAACCTTTCTATAATTATGGAAAACCCACTTAGGATCGGTTTTTATTTTTTTATTTTTTTTAATAATCTAAGGGGTATTTAATAATTATAACAGACTTTATAATGGTTTAAAAAAAAAAAAAAAAATGAGTATGTTCGTATTAAATAATCCCAGGAGGGTATACAAAATAAACCCAAAATTCAAGTGGGATTGAGAATATGTATAAATAACAAACTGAAAATTGATTTTCATTGCTAACAGGGAACAATAAAAGAGTGGCGAAGGTGCAATCTTACATTTTCTGAGGGCTCATATGATTATGATGTCGATAGTTCTTTTGACTATCATAAAAATCTTACCAAATCAGGCCTACAACTTTTGCTTTACAGGTGATAATTTTAATACAAAATTCCAGTAAAATCTTTAGTTGCAACTCAAAGGGTTGTCTTGTCGAATTTGGGTCATTAATAAAATTATAACTTTTATTTTGCGGTGCAGTGGCGATCATGATTTGGTCGTTCCACATATATACACAGAATATTGGATAGGTTTACTTGATATCACTTTGGCTGAAGATTGGCGACCATGGTTTGTTGGTGGTCAAACTGTAGGGTAAAGTTTATAATTATGCAGAATTTTTGTTTTTTGAATTATATTTTAGATTAAAATAACTCTATAATTTATGGTACTGAATCTTCTGTTTAGGTACACAATTAAGTACTCAAATTATGGATATCGATTGACTTATGCAACTCTGAAGGTAAGAAGGTTGTTTATGTTAACCATGATTTTTCGGAGGAGTGAAAGAAAATTGAGGCTAACGTTAAAGAGTATATTTTGTATAGGGATCAGGTCACTCTCCAACTGAGTGGAAGGGAAGGGAAACCTATGAAATGTTTGAAAGGTGGGTACATTTTTACCCACTTTAGGTGACAGCCACAGTTTCAAGACTATCAAATCTTTGTGGTTTGTAGCTACCATTTGAAATTTGCAACTTTGCAACATGATTGTTTCGAGCAAAGCATTAAATTAATAAATTGTTTTGATAATCGTTGAGGCATTTTTGTGTTAAGCATTGTTTAGGGGTGAATGAAATAAACTCAGAATAATACAAACATATTTTAATATAGATTGGGCTATTTGAAAGTGGAGACGGGTAAAGTCAATTCATTATTATTCTTTTGAAAATTAAATTCTATAAATGATAACAAGGAAATGGATTAGGTAAAGTTGTGTGAAAATAATGAAAATATAGTTTAATATAGAATTGGGTTGTTTGAGGTTAATTAGGGTGGATAAATTGATTTGATTAACTTTTGAATTGAACTAAATTAAATACATGATTTTTAAGGCTGTCAAATAGATCTGAATCAAATCAATCCTAATTGATTGTCGATATTCATATGTATTATTTTATCATTGAAAATTTGACAAAATTACCATAATTTGTAAGGAAATTATAATGAATTGTTAGTGTTATAGACTGAACAAATTAAGAAAGAAAGTATACATGAGATGAGTTGAAAGGAAAATAAATTTTAAAAAAAAAAATGAACATAAAGAATAGAGATGTTGAAAAAATCCGGCCTGCACTAGGGCCCAAAAAAGCAAGCCCAGGTTAGGACCTATCTCCAGAGGCCAGGATGATGAGTACGTTATATTATTATTTTTCTGAATAAAAAAGAGATATGGGAGAAAATAGATTGACGAGTCTTTTATTATGACTCATGACCTCCGTCCATTTCTATCCATAAAACATAAAATTCATGTTATTTAAATTGAAAATTTTAAAAACTTCCAAGGTTGATAGTTTATTTATGAATTTTGTGTATCTTTTTTTTTTTAAATATTAAAATATTTAAAAAAAAACCGAAAAATGAAAACACGTTTGACATGTTATCACATCCACACCAAATAAAATCCCTTATCATTTATAATTTGTCTATCTCATAGAGATTGTTTCACTTATGTCCACGGTTAATTTCTGCTTGAAATTTTGTGATAAAAACAATGGAGTTAGTAGCCTTTCTTCTCTTACTGTTTTCACTTCTTTTTCACTTCTTTTTTGGAATAAAATTCTTAAGAAAGGTAAACGAATAGTTATTTCAAAAATTCAAAAGCAGAAAAAATGAAAATAAAATGCTAAGTTCATAAATGAACATAGCCTTTTATTTCCTTATCATATCGCCTCAAGTTGGAGGGAGAAATGGAATGAAGCCCCAATTTGGATCGAAATTGGAGAAAAACATGACATAGTAAAAACTTGGTTAAGTTATCAAAAATTTGAAGATCCAAGGGAAAAAAACAAGTTATCAAACTTCCAAGGGCTACCTTCTCACAGAATTAATGATAATCCAACTCTATATGTTTGGTACGACGATCAAACACAAGATTGATGGTCATATGAAAATAGCTCATATTATCACACAATAGTTTAGGAGGGTGGTCTAACTTTATACCAACATCATGGAGTAGGAAAGAGATCCTTGTAAGCTCAGCTATAGTAGAAGCTATGGCCTAATACTTAACCTTTGTAGTAAAAGTAAATCATGATACAGTTGGTTGCTTCTTAGACGACCAAGATATGTAATTTTGTTAAGAGTCATGAAAATGACTCCATTAAAGTGATTAAAATACCCTTGATATGATTTAATTGAATTTATATTAAGACAATTATAAAATTATGATTTTATTCAAGAAAATTCATATTATAATGTTTTCTTACAAATGTTGCATGTTTGGAATGATTTTTGAGATTGTGTCAGTTGATATTAGGTTGCGGTTTATTGATTAGGGTTAAATTTGCCTCATTATGTTGTTCAGGGCCTAAAATGTCATATTTATTTCTAGGGGTTGATTTTGTCACTTTTCATTCTATAAGGACCACACTAAATTTTCTGTGAATCTATAAAAGGAAAACTTTGTGCGATTTTTCGAGGGGCAACTGCAAAACCCTCACCCTTTACCGAAATTTGGCCATTATCGGCCACCCTAGGTCCACCTTTTCTGTCGGTTCATCTTCTTCCATCATACCAGTGTCACTTTGACTTCCGACTGACGACGTTTCGTCTCCCATTAGTTCCTCTTCGACTTCCAACCATGTTTCACCTTTTTCCAACAAAGTTTGAGCTCTCCAAGTGTTGGGTCATCTTCCTCTAGGGTTCTTCCATCTTCCCAGAGCTCCCTTGCCATCGATTTGGCCGTTTTTTGGCGAGTTTCATCACTTTACATATTGTGACTCTTCAGCTTCCAGGCAAGTTTTCACTCACTTTTCGACGACATTGCACCTCCCCAGGTACTGATCTTCACTCCCCAACTCGAGAGCTACCTCTTGGTACCTTCGGATCATTGTTTCACCACTAGTCGATAGAAACCACCATTGGAAGCCACCAGAATCTGGAGAGTTTTGACTTCATCATCTTCCTAGAGTCCCTTGGTCTTCTTCAGCCACAAAGCACATCGTCTCATTGTCTTTGCCCTTGATCATGATTAGCACCATTCTCGATTCTCCAGCCTTCATGGACACCACCATGAGCAGTTAAACTCCCGATTACCCTTTACGGTTGTAGACTGTAAAAATCTACGGTTACGAAATGGACAGATCTTGTGAGGTTGAGGCCACTAACAATCAACTGGACTTGTACACAAAGAAACAAATGCGAAGCTCACAGGGGACATCGGTGCAGCGTCTACCGTAGACACCCTGATGCTCAAGTTAGCGAGACTTGAAAGGCTATTTAGTGAAGACTAAGGGAGGAAAGTTTACCGAAATCTCATCAAGGATTAGAACTGCAACAAAGGTGACAGTGGTTCTTGAGAGCAAGAACTTTTAAGAGCAAGTAAGTGGTATTGAGATTGAATGCATTATGAGAGGGTTGGCTTCTGTTTATATAATGAACCCAGGGGGTTGGAGTCCTAGTAGGACTTTGAGTCCTACTTGGTAGACGAGTTCGAATTAGGAAGGAATTCATATGGCTTGCCTTTATCAAATCAAATTAGCATTACCAATTCAAGTAAGATCTTGGATCTTGATTAAGTGGAAAGTAAATAGGATTCAGATTCCTATTTTGGGACGAATATGGGCTAATGGGCTGGAGCCCGATTTATCTTAACTTGTAGGAAGGCCCAACTCATGGAGTGGCCAATCCACAATGAAGCGTAGGCCCAACCGAAATTGGGTTAAGGCACTGAGTTGTAATATGTTTATTTTGTTATGGGACCTCGTCAGGCCCAATACGATTTTTGGCTCATACAGTGTGTCTCCCACTCTCTAAGTTAAAGGGTATCTAACTTAGAGAGTATATTTAATTAATCGTAGATGTAATACGAACGAGTCGATGTCCTCTCAGGGAGGGTTTGACTCGAAACACTTGTTATTGCCACAGGGGCATAAGTCATTTGGCTCCGTTCGTGTGGCCGAATGGAAAGGCAGGACCGAGCGGAATGATATATCAAATACTTTTTTACTTAATTTTTTTAACATTGTAAAAATATATCAAATACAACTATCTTTTTAAGTTTTCTCTTATCATTGGCGAAATTAGTTAAGATTTTATAATATTTTTAAAATTCAAAAATTCTGCAAATTAAATAAAATGTTTAATTATTTTAATATATATTTTTTTCTCCGTATAATTTGAATTGCATTAAAAAAAATAACTGACTAAAGACGTATGGACTATATTATTTTTTTCAATTTGTTTGAATTAAGATTTCTAACTATCATTGATTAAAACATCAAAAAAAAATTAAGAGCATTGCTTGTCATACAAACTGTCTTTCTATTTAACATTCTCTCGTTCCAACACTAGCTAACAACTAGGAAATTATGTCAAAAATAAGAACAAACCAACCTTATTTGAGCATATCGTTTAACAAACATTTGTAAACGTAAATTGTTGGAGAGATGGAGATTGATAGGAGGGAAGAGAACCATATAAATAGAGATAGTCTTTTGTGAAATTATATTGTGCGTTCAAAGCCAAAAAAAAAGGCCACAACACAGTTATGATGTACAAAATCATATGTTTCCTTTCACTTTTTTTTCATATGGGGTATGCTGACAAACCTGATCCTTTCCCTCTTAGATTAACGGATTATAATGCAAGGGAGTTGATATCTGAAAACTCCGGTGTCTCTGCCATGCATGCTATCTTGCTTCCGAAACTTAACAAGGTTTTGATGTATGATGTACTGTTTGGAGGACATCAAAATTCCATTGCCTCTGAGAAGATGCCTTGTCGTATTGCGAATGAGGAAACCGGTGAATTGAACTGCATTTTGTGTTATTCGATATGAAATAGCAAATTGACAGCATCAAGGTACTTAAATGAATAATCATAATTGTATGCATTTATTTTTTTAGTTTAATATTTTCGTTAACAATGCAATGTCTGTGTGGATAGATTGAGCATGAAGTGGTGCTCATCAGGAGGCCTCACAGTGGACAGAACTGGTTAGCACGGGAGGTAATGGAAAAGGAGCCAACACTGTAAGATATCTCTCCACATGTGAAAAATGTGATTGGAGAGAGTACCCATCATCACTTGTAGATCCTAGAGGTATATATCTATACTTCGTATATATGTTTATATATATATATTATATATATAATTTCTTTACTTTTCTCAGAATAATTTCTTCACTCTGTAGGTACTCAAACAAGTAACCTTACCAGATGGTGGGTTCATCGTGTTTGGGGGCGTGGTGCCTTTAGTTACGAATACATTCCAATAGAAGGACAAACCAATAAGAACCCCACCTTTCTCCCTTTGCTTCAACAAACTTCTGATCAGTTCAATGCTCAAACGCAATTTAACATAGAGAATAATTTATACCCTTTTGTCCACCTCTCCCCCAATGGAAATCTCTTTATTTTCTCCAACAAACGTTCAATCTTGCTTGACCCTAAAACTAACCAAGTTGTTCGCGAATTCCCAATTCTCCCTGGTGGCTCCCGTAACTACCCTGCATCGGGAATGTCCATTCTCCTCCATTAAGACTTAAACTAGGCACGTTGAAAAAGATCAACGCTGAAGCTTGGTTTGTGGTGGCGCACCTTAGGATTCATTTTATTACGCAAAGACTCAAAAGAAATTCTTGCCTGCATTACAAGATTGCGGAAGAATA